GCTTATCACCACACTGTAATGGTAGTGATTGTGGATATTCATCTAGCATGGAAGGGAGTGAAACAGGTTCTCGGGAGGGTTCGGATGTTGCCTGCACTGAAGGCATTTGTAATCACGATGAACACGGTAGGTTCAGATTAAGCTTCCCAATTACTTCTACTACACGGCTGATTTAAGCACATAAATGAGATTATTGATTTCTGCAGGTGATGACTCCTGTGTTCATCACTGTGAAGACAAAGAGGATGATGGTGATAGTTGTGTTGAATGTTGGGCAAATTCTGAAGAGAACAACACCAAAGGAAAAAATAAAAAGAAGAAAAAGAAAAGCAAGATGTTAAAATGTGATGAACATGTAAGTGTTATAATTCTTAAACCTTTGCTGTTGAGGGGAGAGCAACCTGTTTTCCTTGGAGTAGCCGCTTAGTTGCTAGTATTTATTATTATTTGAGAATGAGTACCTTTCGAATGCAGTTCCTATTGGTTGCTTGTCTTGTGAGGTTTGTATGCATGTGTGTCTGATGTGGTCATTTGACCAGCAGTCCATGTGAGTCATAAATCCAATTCATTCTTTTCATAATACTTTTTTTTTAAGATTTTATTTATTTGAGAGAGAGCAAGAGCACGAGTGAGGGGCAGAGGGAGAAGCAGGCTCCCCACCAAGCAGGGAGCTCAATGTGGGGCCTGATCCCAGGACCCTGGGACGATGACCTGAGCTGCAGGCAGACGCTTAACCGAAAGAGCCACCCAGGCGCCCCACTTTTGTAATACTTTTAAATGAATTAGCTATGTAATCTTGAGCAGTTTGCTTGATATTAGTTGTTCCATCTTTGAGGAGAGAATAGTCCCTATCAGATTAAGTTCTGTGAAGATGAAATGAGATGATATTGATGGGTTAGCATAGCGTCTGGTATGTTGTCAGCACCTGCTAAATGCCGGCACTGCTGTTGCGTAACATTCCTTCTAAGAAGTTAACACACTCTTAGTTAACGGACCTTTTTTTTTCCTTTCTTTAAAGAGTAATTGCTATTATTTCCTGCCTTTTTATCTGGGACATCCTTTGCTGTGCTTTCAGATCCAAAAGCTTGGAAGCTGTATTACAGATCCAGGTAATCGAGAGACCTCAGGAAATACCGTGCACACAGTGTTTCACCGCGACAAGACCAAAGATGCACATCCTGAAAGCTGTTGCAGTTCTGAGAAGGGTGGGCAGCCACTGCCTTGGTTTGAGCACAGGAAAAACGTACCACAGTTTGCAGAATCTACAGAACCGTCATTTGGTCCTGATTCCGGAAAAGGTGCCAAGAGCTTAGTTGAACTCCTTGTAAGTGAGGATATCTTATTGTGAATAACTGATTGCTCTTGGGGTAGATGTGGAAGGGGACAATATTTAAGAATTTAAAGGTGGGACTGGGGAGGCTTTTAAGAAATTAAGGGCAGTCTTTCATTATTTTTGATGACTTCATTTCTGTTCTTCCCCTCATGGCTTATGCAACTGCTCTAGAGCACATTTCCTTGTCCTCCTTTGTTTTCAAGGTAGGAGAGAATAGTTGGGAGAGGGGGATAGAGTTAGCATTATGTCCGGGAGTCTGCCTCCTTGAAGAGGGTTATTTGTAAGCAGACTGCCTTTCTGAGTGGCACTTTATAGTGGCCAGCCTTCCAGACCAGGAAAATATGTAGAATCTGAACTAGAGTCCACTCTTCTAGGTTACTTCCTTTCAGTTCATGTAAGACAAAAGCATAAGTGAACTTGGAAAATCTTTTATATTGACTCCAAGTCTTGATACTTCAGATCAGTTATGCCTAATTCCAAGCAACCCAGTACATATTTGTGTGCAGCTTGGAGGAGGGGCAGAAAAGAGAAGGGTGGTATATCTTCTCTATAGTAGTTTGGCTCCTAATGGAACCAACTCCTTTAGAATAGTTTTTTCTTTTTAACATGGTGGTTAAGTTTCATAAGTTTTAAAAAGGTTATATTTTACTTACTTTGTAGAGATAAAAGTTTCAACATAGGACCAGCTGATTAAAAACCAGATCAGTCTGGTTATTTAAAATTTGGGAACTAGTTGTACCATCTCTAATTAGTCATTTTTTAAGGCAAAGGCATGTTGATAGTCTGTCAGGCTCATAGGTCTTCTAGGACAAATTATAGATCCAGAGTTTCAAACCGAGTTGAGTTGGATTTTATTCTTACTTAGTACTTTAATGACATGATGCTTGTTCTGTAAACAGTCCAAAGACTTATGTGACTAAATTGCAATTAAAAGGCTAGACTGCCTTAATTTTTAGCTGTCCTCCATCGGTATAGTATTTCGCATTCTTAATTTAAATCATAATCTTAACTACTGCTTTAATTTGCAGGATGAGTCTGAATGTACTTCAGATGAGGAAATCTTTATCTCACAAGATGAAATACAGTCATTTATGGCTAATAACCAGTCTTTCTACAGCAATAGAGAACAATACCGACAGCATCTGAAGGAGAAATTTAATAAATACTGCCGCTTAAATGATCACAAGAGGCCCATTTGTAGTGGCTGGTTGACAACGGCTGGAGCAAATTAAATAAATAAAATAGCCCTGTCTTTCAATGAAACACTCAAGATGACTACTGCGCCTTCTCTTTCAAAAACTCTTAATTTAGTGACTTATGGCAAAATTTTACCTTAAATCAATGTGATTCTTTCTTGTTTTGGGAGACGGTGGAGGTAACCTCATTAGTTTGTTCTTTCTTCAGGCTTGTGTCTTTAGTTGCGTGGCTGCGCAGGCCTGCCATATGATTTAAGCCATCTCTCTTCATTAAATGTTTCTCTTCCTGTGAGACTTACTAAAGCAACTTAGTGGCAAAAAGTAATGTTGTACTTATACTTCTGTACAGAAATGACAATGAGCTGAATATATGGTTTTACAAAGTAGACATCCACTTGCGAAATGTTTGGATGTAATGTTAAAGCGCAATGTGCAAAATTTAAAATAAAGAATATTTATTAATATGCATAGTAAAAATTGGTGTACATGTTTCTACTTAATGTGTGGCAGTATTTTAATATTTGCCACTTTTGAACTCGGTACTTGGCCAGTGATGATGTCAGGATGAACTGCAAATGAGGATAGAGTTATAGATTGTTGAGGACAAAATTCTTCCCTTCACCGGAATTGACAGCCGAGAAAAGCAGTTTCCAGTCTTTTGTTTTGAAAGAATAAATGTGCTGCAATACCTTTAAATACTGGCTAGCTAGCATCTTTCTCATGACATTGTTAATTGCTATTACTAAAAATTCCCTGATAACTAACATAAAGCACCTTAAATTCAGAGATTCATAATTGAACTAGAAGAATGAAAACAGAACTTGGCAGAATTTCCATCAAGGGTTGCCTGAGAAGGAATTACTCTAGCATGTAGACCTGGGACTAGAAGGCTGCACCCAGAGCTAACCACATTGCAGTCTGTAAGTGCATGCTCCTTATCTGGTTTCCAACAATAAAGTCACTGTGGCATTACAGTTTACTGCTTCCATAAGCTGTCTGTGAGTACTGAAGGAGAGGGATTCCCCCAGGACTAGCATTTGGCTGCCATTTAAAAGGTTGAGTCAGTAGTAAACACATGTGCTTAGAGCTTTGTGTCTGCATGTTGCTAATACTTGGTGGGCAGCAGGCAAAGAGTGGGACAGTCAATACCTCTGTGCAGTGGGGATGGAGTGAATTTTATGGGCTCTCTACTATTTAATCAGATTTCAGGTGGGTGACAGCAGAAGCTTAGATTTAATTTTTATAGATGGTGGCATTTCTTTGATATACCCCCTCATTTTTCAAATCTAAGTGTTTTATAGTGATGGGGCAGAAGTAAAATGAGTCTCTCTGACCTTTGTTCACTTTCATTCTGGAATCCAGGAAAAATGACTAAGGATCCCCACAGCCCTGGGCTCTGAGCCCAAACCTCACTTGACCATCTTTGCTGTCAAGTTCTCTCTTATCCCTGAAAGTAAGGGCTGGTCTTATTTTATTTTAATCTTTATCTTTGGGCGAAACACATGAGTACTTGGTGAATGAATAAACAAGTGCATTTACTGCTTATACCATTGCTTGCAGGGGAGGGATTCCTTAGGCAGAGGTGTTTTTTCTTTGGAAGGATGGCTATATTAATGCAGAGGAAAGGAAGGCAGTTTCCAGAGCTTTGATGGAACATCCTGAGAGGTCAGAGAGCAAAGTGAACTCTCCTCTGAGCAAAACCAATAACCCAAGAAGAGACAAAGGGGAGAATGGGGAGAAGGCAGTTTAGGAGCACATCCCCTGGCCTGACTGGACAGTGTGAAGTCCAGACCATGCTTCACCCCTTTCTGTCCGGTATAGTCCTTTATACAATGAAGGCTAATAAGTAGTATCTCAAAGGGCTGTTGTGCATATTTGTTAATATATTTAAAGTGCTTAAAAGTGCCCATTATGCAGTAAGGGCTCAATAAATACTAGCTATTGCTTTAATCTTGTGCATACATAGTGATACTTTTGTCTCATTGGGAGTGGGAGGGTCTAGGACAGTTGGAGACAGTAGGCCAATAAACGTGTACTTGGGAATATTTCCATTTTTGAGTTCTCATTCTGGTAACACCGAGGGATCAGGTAGGGTTGAGAGTCTCTCAAGGGAACTGGGCGGTGATAGCTGAGACACAGCCTTTTCTGGGCTGAACCCTTCCCATCAGCCACTGGGGGTGCGGGAGTCACCTTAAGTGCCCGTAATTTCTCTTCCTGACCTTAGGGCTCAGAAACTGGGAAGGGAGACTGAACACGGAGCCGGGGTACGTGCAGCCTCGGGGCTGGAGGAAGCCCCCGCTAAACATCGGTTTCCCCGCCCCTATGGGAAGCAGCTCCCGGGACTCTCCCGCGCCGGCGGGCGCCGCGGGAAGCCTGTTTTCCCACCTCTCGCCAGGCTTGGGGCGGGGCCGGAAGGGGCGGGACGGCCAGGCCGGGGCCGTCCTCCGGCTGGATGGGGCGGGTGGCGGGGGTGCGGAGGGTGGAGCCCCCGCCCGGGGCCCGGCAGGATGGAGGCGGGTTCAGGCGCGGCTCGGAGCGGGGCAGATCGGCGGCTGCAGCTGCTGAGCCCCTGCGACCCTGGGCGGAGCTCCGCGATCCAAATGTCCGGCTCCCGGAGCGAGGTGGGCGGGCGGCTCGGGACCACCGCCAGGGCTGGCATGGAGCGGTGGCGGGACCGGCTGGCATTGGTGACAGGAGCTTCGGGGGGCATCGGCGCGGCTGTGGCCCGGGCCCTGGTCCAGCAGGGACTGAAGGTAGTGGGTTGTGCCCGCACCGTGGGCAACATCGAGGTAAGTTCCCGCCGAGGAGAAGGTCGTTCTGGGAGGCGTCGTTTCCGCCGGGGTAGGGTCTGGGGCGGGGCGGGGAGTGGTGACCTGAGCCAGGCTGCGACCCTGTCCTCCCTTGCCCGCCACCCCAAGGCCATTTGCAACGGGATCAGAGTGGGAGGCTTGGATACCTAATAGGACAGGCCTCTCCCTTCCCTTTTATAAAGTCCCGTCTTTGAAGGAGCCCCTACCTACTCCTGACAGACTCTACTCCAGTGTACCAAATCTCTGACTCCTTGGCATCTTTCTCCCTGCCTATCTGCCTGCCCAGGTAGTCTGAGGAAAGGGGAAGCCAGGGAGAAGGAAAGAAAGCTTTCTGGCCTCAGGGGCTAAATTGGCTACTGGATTGTTTCCTCGAGTCCCCAGACCTCGCCCACAAAGCAGAGCAAAGTGGCTGGCCAGTCAGACGAACAGGGGCTAGAGGTTTTAATCATGATGATTTTTTACCCAGGACTGAGAGTGGTTTTGGGGTGGGAATGAAGTTTCTCAAAAGAGACTCGCCCTCTCCTTCCTCACCCCCAAATTTGAGGGTTAACCCTTACCCAGGGGGATATTTACAGATAGACCTTTCTCCAATTTCACTGTCCTAGGTGGGACTGAGTAGGTGAAATAAGGTGCAGAATATGTGAGCCCTGAGGGGACAAAGCAGTGTGGAACTGGAACTCCTGGTTTTTCTCTTAACCTGGGGTTGGGAGCCCCGAGATATGAGCACTAAGAGCTCAGAGAAAAATGAGATGAAGTTGGCCATGTTGTAAGAGGAGGGAAGAAGACGAGAAATTTCCATCATAGGTCATCTTTGGATTTGCTCCTGGCAGGAATCACTCTTGGGGTTTGGGCCAGTGCTTAGCAACAGGGCATTATTTTCACCATTGCTCAAAGTCCCTGCATAAGGAGGCCTTGTGTGGGGACAGAGGGAGAAGGTGTACTGGAAGGAGGGCTGTCCCCTCCCCTGCTGCTGACCAAAGGTACACTTTATAGCTGCCTAGATAGTCCCAAGGTCACCCAGCTATACCACTGCCCTACTCTACCCCTCCCTTTCTCCTAATCCGAGGAGCTCTGGGCCCAGCCCCAGCCTTGGAGCCTAGATGATCAGACCAGGACTTACACCACTGGATTCCTTAATTCTAAAGCCACTGTTGCCTTCTCTTTCCTACTCCCCCACCCCAAACTAGCCAGGAGAGGGGTCCCTGAGCTCCAAGGGGATCATCAGGTTGCTCACCCAGCCCCAGGATGACTCCTTTAATGAGATAAATGCCTGTGCTGTGAGGGGACAGACATGGTTTTGGGTCATTTCTAGGATAAATGAGGACAGGTGGGACAATGAGAAAGCAGTGACAGGGAGCAATATGTCCCCCGGCCCTGCAATCTGGCTTTCCTGCGGGGATTTGAGTCTGGAGGTGGAAGGGAGAATCCCAGGCTTCCTTAGTTTGCTCTTATTGATACTAAAGCAGAGTTTGAGTTCTGGCCTCCGACAGAGAGAAGCCCTATCTCCTGAAGTGGTTGTGAGTAGGTGAAAGGGGGTCAGCGGGGCCTTCTAAGTTCCAGAGGACCATACCTTTTGAACTCTTGGAGAGTTAAGGCAGAAAAGAATCTCTAGGTCTCCTGATCCAGCCCTTTATTCCCATCTCGATTTGGGGAGGAAGGGGTTCGAGGCCAGGGCAGCTGGCCAAGCTGGCCTTCCTCTAGGGCACCTCCTACCCCCCAACTCTCTCCCTCCCACACATGTACGGTCACCTTCCCGAGGCTCAGGTGCCCAGTCACTGGCCTCCAAGGCCACACAGCTTGGTTTCTTCCTGCTTCTGAATCTCCACGTCCCTCACAGCCACCTCCCAGTGGCTCTGCTTCCTCCAGTCTTTCTGTCTCAGGGCCCTCAGTGTGCTGAGGCCCCTGTTGATACACTGGGGCTGCAAGTCACCTGCCACCTGACTTGCCTCATCATATCCCCAGAAATTTTGGGGTAAAGGAGGGTACACTGTGGGACAGACGGAAAGAATCTGTCCTGACTTCCTCACCTTTCCTAGAGGTAGGGCGAGGGGAGACTGGCAGTTGGGCCCAACTCAAAAGCCACCCAGCTGCACTCTGTGGAGGGACGGGGACAGTTCAGACGAATGCCCTCTGGGAGGGACTGGAGGAGGGAACGGGAGAGGAGAGAATCCCGGAGTAACCAGCTTAGTGACTCATGGCACTGGTGGAAGAAGCATGGGGTGGGGTGAGAGGTACAGCTTACCTGTGAGCAGAGGAGGGGTTCCCGTTGGAGGAGAGGCAGAAGAAAGAGAGGTCACGCTATGCCTAGGACTCCTGGCTCCCCTCTCCCTTTTCTGAACTGAAGACTCGAGTTTATCAGGGGATTCCTCCATTGATGATCTCAACTCCCCTGGGCCCCCCTCACTCAGGGGGTGCTCTTAATCCCCTGGACTTTGAGCAAAGAGGACCAGTAGTCCCAACATCTATGTGGCTGGAAGGTGGCCGCCAAAGGAGTGAGTTCTGTGAGTGGTGACAGCGGAGGAAGGTTGTCTTGGGCGGGAAGGTGTGGGCATGAGCAGCTCACCCCAGTTAGCCCCCTGTTGGGTTTCATAGGAGCTGGCTGCCGAATGTAAGAGTGCAGGCTACCCCGGGACTTTGATCCCCCACAGATGTGACCTGTCCAGCGAGGAGGATATCCTCTCCATGTTCTCGGCCGTCCGATCTCAGCATAGCGGTGTGGACATCTGCATCAACAATGCTGGCTTGGCCCGGCCTGACACCCTGCTCTCAGGCAGTACCAGCGGCTGGAAGGACATGTTCAGTGTAAGGGCTGCAGGCCTGGAGGGTGGGGCTGGGGGGATAGTAGGGGAGCCAGGGGCTTTGTGAACCAGAGGGCTGCTTGGGGTAGGACATCTAGCAAGAGGGAGCTTTGGGTTCCTACCTGGGGCACCTTGACTCTCCCCTTGCTTCTTTCCCTACCAAAGGCATAGTGAGTGGATGAATGGCCATATCTTTTGTTCTCCTTTCCTTTGAGCCCCTTAAAGGGGCAGTTTTCTAAAGTCCAGGCTGATTTCCTTCTACTGGAAGAAAGACTGGTAGGGAAGAGAACTGTTTATTGAATGCCCTGCATGTCGGCACCATGCTGAGTGCTTGGGAACATGGTCTTACAGGAAGCAAAGGAACCAAGACACAGGAGATGAGGTTCTGACCCAGCCCTGCCAGTCACCCTGTGGCTTCAGGCAGGTGGTTACCCTCTATGAGCTGCAGTCTTGTCACATTTAATTGGGGTGAACACACCTATACCAAAAATATCTAGGGCCCAGGGTCCCCTGGGGCCCGGTCAATACCTCAGTGAGTGAGGTGGGTCAGGTGGAGTGTGCAGTAAATGGGGGAGCACACGGCCAAGTACAAGGGTGGCTGCTGATGTCCCGCATCGCTGCGGTAGGGCAGTGTGGGTCCAGTGTGGCCAGATCTTACAGTTTCTTTGAGAGGAGTGGAGAGCCTGGGTTTTTCTATGACATCCTACCCCTCCCATTTACCAAAACCTCAGCTCCACAAGGGGAAGGATTTTTTTTTTTTAATTTTTTTTTAAAGATTTTATTTATTTATTTGAGAGAGAGAATGAGAGACAGAGAGCACGAGAGGGAAGAGGGTCAGAGGGAGAAGCAGACCCCCCGCTGAGCAGGGAGCCCGATGCGGGACTCGATCCCAGGACTCCAGGATCACGACCTGAGCCGAAGGCAGTCGCTTAACCAACTGAGCCACCCAGGCACCCGGGAAGGATTTTTTTTTAATAAAGATTTTTTATTTATTCATTTGAGAGAGATGGAGAAAGCGAGTGAGAGGACGAGCAGAGGGGAGGGGCAGAGGGAGAGGGAGAAGCAGACTTCCTGCTGAGCAGGGAGCCTGATGCGGGGCTCGATCCCAGGACCCTGGGATCATGACCTGAGCCGAAGGCAGACGCCTAACCAACTGAGCCACCCAGGCACCCTAGGGCAAGGATTTTTGTCTGGTTTATTCTCTGTTGTATAGCCTCAGCCCATAATAGATATCCAGTAGATACTCAATAGATATTTTTTGAGTGAATGAAACCTTCCAGTACATGTTGGGAATGAATTGAAAGTGTTTTAAAATTTTGTATGGACCAAACACAGCCTTGTTTTCAACCTGTAGACTATATTATGGGGCAATATTAGGGTATAAAAGTATTCTGAGAAGTTGAAAGCAGTGTGTGCATGGGGATGCATCTTTTCCCACAATTGATTTAGCACCAAAGGTGCTTGGGTCTGCGAATGAACAATGAACGTTGAAACAGTGAGCCTGAAAATGAGGCACTACCCTGTGCTCAGAGAGCCTTCTGGGAGATCTGAGTTGTGGTCCTCACCTGCAGTAAGTGGGTCACTAAACCTGGACCGCAACTTCCACATCTGTAAAATGAGGGACTCATATCGAATCCTTAAGACCTTTTCACTAAGAGGACCAGAAACAGGGCTGAAAGCCCACGAATGCTGAGGCAGGTTCACGCCGAGAGTGTTCTGTACCGATGCCTGGCTCTGACACCTGATAAAGAGAAACATCTAATGTACTGGCTGGTCTTGTTTCTTCTCGGGAGGAGAGACAGGAGGACCTGCTGAAAGCTCTGTCTCTGCTTGTCCTCATGGGGGAGGGGTGGGGCTCGGTGGTAGCTTTAGAGCTGAGATACTTCTTCAGGCCTTTGTTCCCTGGAGGGTGGGGATTTGGGGTCACCTCTGGCAGAAGCCAAGGAAGACAGAAAGCCCCCATGTGCTTGGGAGCTCCCCTGCCATCCTGTGACCAGTTACCCCACCCCCTAAAAAGTCTCTGTGCCTAGTCTTGTAGATGGGACAGAGGGTAAAGGAAGGCACGGAAGGAAAGAAGGTCAGGATTCTCTGCTTATAGTTGCTGGGGAGGGGATGGGAAGGCAGCAGAGAGTACTCGGTAGGGTGGGGAGAGGCTAGGGTCTGTGCTTGAGGAGAGAGATTTTTAAAGCCATCTTAGGAAGGATTTTAGGCTTTTTAGAGAGAGCAGGGCCAGGGACGCTGACCCAGAGAAGAGTAGGGTGTTTGGGGACGAAAAGGAGATGGTTCTCTAAGGCAGACGTTCTATTGTTTGCTGAGGAGACAGCCAAGACAGGGAGGTTCCGTGGACATGGATAGGTTTGGGGGTTTTCCGTTCCTGTTTACAGAAACTGGGGGAGGAGGGGGTTCACAGGAGAGGAGGGTCATGCAAGCAGCGGCAGAGCCCAGGGGCCCTGTGCCCTCAAGCTCCCAGCAGCACACCCTGACCTGTGTGCGTGGGGGGTGGGGAGGGCCTGTGCCCACCCTGCCCCCCGCCCCCGCCCCCGGGGAGAGGAGCTACCTACCACTACTGTCAGCTGGGGCTGGTGGCTTTCAGGGGAGGCAAGGTGCCCTGGAGCCATTGGTGGTCTCTGATGGGACCTGGACACTGTTTTATTCCACCCGCCCTGGGCGGGGGCTGCTCTGTGGTCTGTTACCTGCTCAGATGGGCCCAAGCTGGAGACACCCCATTGCCCTCCCCGGCCTGCAGGTGAACGTGCTGGCCCTCAGCATCTGCACGCGGGAGGCCTACCGGTCCATGAAGGAACGCAAGGTGGATGACGGGCATATCATTAACATCAACAGGTGAGGCAGGTGGCCAAGGGCTAAAGCTCAGACCACCACTCACCCACCGAGCTGGGCGACCATGCTGAGTGATCTGTTGCAGCTCATTTGACCTCTTTGGAGGTCCATTTCATTGGTGGTAAAGTAGGGATTTAATACCTGGTTAGCAGCCAAATGGCCCAGTTATGGGTGAGGGACAGAATAGGGCATATCAAGTGCCAGGCCCTAGGTGGACTTGCAGAGGGCGCAGGGCTCGCAGGAGCTGCTCGAATCGCAGAAGCTACCTCAGTGGGCCCCCAGGATGGCCTCCAGAGGTCCCGTTGAGCAGGCTTCCGCGGGGCATCCGGGTGGCAGGGCCGACTGGTGCAGCAGGGGCACGGCTGCTCTCAGCAGCTTCACTCTCTTCTTTCCCCTTCTCTCCCTCCACCCAGCATGTCTGGTCACCAAGTGTCACCCCACTCCGTGATCCATTTCTATAGTGCCACCAAGTATGCTGTCACCGCACTGACAGAGGGACTGAGGCAAGAGCTTCGGGAGGCCCAGACCCACATCCGAGCCACGGTGAGGGTGCGGCCTGGTCCTGGGGCCGGGGGCGGGGGCGGGGGGCAGGGTGGGCACAGGCCCTCCCCACCCCCCACGCACACAGGTCAGGGTGCGCTGCTGGGAGCTTGAGGGCACAGGGCCCCTGGGCCCTGCCGCTGCTTGCATGACCCTGCCCAGTCCTTGCCTGGGGGGGGGGGGGCCTGACGGGAAAGGGAACACAGTGGGTGAGACTGAGGGAAAGCAAGGGGTGTGGGAAAGCCTGGCTGGAAACCCGGACTCTGGGCCCTTTCCTGGAAGGCCGCAGGACCCTGGGCAGCTCACTCAGCCCCTCCAAGCCTCAGCCTTCTCACTCATAAAATGGAGACAGTGACCCCTACCTGGCTATGACGTTTTAAGGGACACTGTCGTAAAACCCTTACCTGAGAAGGGCTCTGTAGGTGGCGGGTGTCACTGCAATCATCGCAGCTTTGGGAGGACGGGGTGGTTGCTGGACATGGGGCAACCATCACCGGGAAGCAGGGGGCCCCGCCGTCTCCATCCTGCCCTCCCCAAAGCCCGGCCTCTGATTGGGGTGGAGGTGGGGCTTGGCTCGGCCCCTGAGCAGGCCCTCTCTGTTGGTCCAGTGCATCTCTCCAGAAGTGGTGGAGACACAATTCGCCTTCAAGCTCCACGACAAGGACCCTGAGAAGGCAGCTGCCACCTATGAATGCATAAAGGTGGGGCCTCCCTCTGGGACGGCTGAGCCACTCACCCCCTACGTAAAGGCAGAAGGAACCCTGGCCTTTGGACTACACCCTTCTAGCCAGCCTGTCGCCCCTCCTGGAGGGCTGGGGTGGGGATGAAGATGCTAGAGAGGACATTAGAGGTGGGAGGTCCATTCTGCCCTCACCTCACCCCCTTTCCTCTGGTGCTCTCCAGTGTCTCAAGCCCGAGGATGTGGCCGAGGCTGTCATCTATGTCCTCAGCACCCCTCCACACGTCCAGGTGAGTCTGGCCTTGACTGCCCACCCCCTGGAGGAGGCCAGCCATCCTCAGAGGAGGACAGCAGGGAGGCCTCAGGGGGTGGGGACAACGTCCTGGCCGCCTCAAGCCTTGTGCCTTCCAGCAGATTGGAGATATCCAGATGAGGCCCACGGAGCAGGTGATCTAGTTTCCTGTGGGGAGCTCGGCCTTCCCTCCCCGCCCCTCGCAGCTTGGCTCCTGCCTCTGGATTTTAGGTGTTGATTTCTGGACTCCTGGATTCCGCTTCCTCTCCCCACCCCACCAGGGGCTAAAAAATTTGTTTGAAGTTTTTATATCTTATCAAATCGTTTCCATCACAAATAGGAACAGTGGGCTGGGAAGAGGAGGTGGTGTCCCTGATTATTTTACCTGTTAACTCATTCTCGGTCCCCTTCTTAGGCTCCTTGGCCTTTGTTTGCTCTCTTCCGTCTCTTCCTTTTGACCTGGGGAAGGGACTGTGGCCAAAAGGGGGGCTCCCCCTGTCCCTCAGGAAGGAGGTGGCAGAGAGAAGCCCTCACCTTCCATCTGAATGGTAATCCAAGGCTCCAGGCTTCCTCCTCTTCCTGCCCTACTGCCCCATCGCCCCTTCACTTCCCCCATCCCAGTTCTCCAGCCCAGTCTTGGCTTCTCGGCTCCCCCGGGGGGGTCATCACTCCACTGACTATGGCAGCTGAATACCAGGGCCTGCCTCCCAAGTGGATTTCACTGTGATAATTAAAAAAGAAAAATTGCAACAACTTCAGGAGTGTCTTTCAGTTCTTCCTCCTTTTCCGTGATCAGGGGCGGTTGTGGGTGGATTTGGGGCATCACTCCTGGAGTGTGGATGACCTTAGGTAGCAGATGTGGGTTTGGGTTGGGTCTTGAAAATGGGTCGTAGTTTGCCAGCCAGGAAAGAGGACAACAGTGGAGACGAGGGTGGGAGGCTGGCTGAGCAGGCAGTGGTGTGGGAACAGCACGGAACATAGTGCGGGGCTGTGCGGGGCTGTGCGGGGCTGTGCGGGGCTGGAAAGGAAGTTCCTGCCTGGATCACCGGAGGTCTGAGTGCTGAGCCAGGAGACTGCCCATTACCTGTGGGCCGAGGGCATCAGTTGGCTTGTCAGCAGGCGCAGGACAGGCACAGAGCTGTCACTTAGAGAATCAGCCGCCACGGGATAGGAAGTTACTGCTGGGGTCCTGCTGACTGATGCCGAGGGTTTGATAAGGCAGTGGAGGTGGAGAGGAGGGGCTGGATGCAGAAGTTTCTAAGGAAAATCACCAGCACCGGGTGGTGAGCTGGATGGGGGGAGGGAGTCACCACGGTTGATCTGGTTGACCACCTGCTCTTAAAGTGGCCTTTGCTGGTGCCTGGGGTGAGTGTGGCCCTCCAGCCTCCTGGGACCTCTTGGGACCTGGAAGGGCGCAGAACGAAGTCGCTGGTAGGGGTGGCTTGGCCGGCGGCGGGTACAGAGAAGGCGGCCGTTCAGCCAGCCCTGCAGGAGGCGCTGTGGGCACGGCCCGGCGGGAGGGCATGCGCAGTGCGTCGGCGGGCAGGGGGCGGGCCGCCTGGACCCGGAAGCGGGGTAGCCCACGTGGGAGGCGGGGCGGGGCGGGGCCGCTGTGTTCGGCTCCCTGGTTCTGGGTAGTCTCTGCCGGGCAGTCCGGGCCGTTCATCCTCTTCACCCGTGTTGGGGAGCCCGGAGCCGGCCCCGGCGGGAGAGAGCGCTCCAGATGACGCTGCAGGGGCATTGACCATGGCACTGCTCTTGGCCGTCGGGGGCGCGACCTGGCGTTGCTCGGGTCGCCTCCCCGCGCGTCATTTCTCCCGAGCGGCGCGGCGTGGGGAGCGGCCAGGCGGGGAGGAGCTGAGCCGCCTGCTGCTGGACGACCTGGCGCCGACCCCGCGCTCTACGGCGGGACTGGAGCTTCTGTTTGGCCTGTCCCCTTGTCTCCTGGCCCTGCGGGCCGCCCGTCGCCGCGTGGCCAGGCTCCTGCTCCAGGCCGGCCGGTCCGGGTTGCAGGGGGAGAGGGCCGAGCTGCTCCGGGCGGCAGAGGCGCGGGACATCCCCATCCTGCGGCCCAGACGGCAGAAACTGGACGCCCTGTGCCGCTTTCAGGTCCACCAGGGCGTCTGCATGGAGGTGAGCCCGCTGAAGCCTCGGCCTTGCACCGAGGTCGGGGAGGCGAGGCCAGGCGACGACCCCCAGCAGCTGTGGCTCGTCCTCGAGAGGATCCAGGATCCCCGGAATCTTGGGGCCGTGCTGCGTTCTGCTCACTTTCTCGGAGTGGATAAAGTCATCACCAGCGGGAGACACAGGCACGGACGTCCCTTAGTCCCCATGTGCCCCAGTTCGGGGCGCAGCCGAGTTTCTAAGCACCTTGATCCTTGATCCCTCAGCCAGGCCTCCCCATCGCCAGAATTCTCACCTTAACCCTTGGGGGCCCAGGCGGAGGGCAGGGCACTGGGTTTGAGATTACCCAGCTTAATGCGGGGCATGGGGAAATTTGCAGCTGCCCACTCACTCCGGTAGTCAGCAAGGCCAGCGCGGGGGCTCTGGAGGTGATGGACGTGTTCTCCACTGATGACCTGGCCGGCTTTCTACAGGTAATGGCGCGCGCGGCGGGGGCGGGGGCGGTGGGTAAAGGAGCAGAAATGAGCCAAGCTCAGTCTCTCCAAGGGCACTCATCCAGTAGCTGATGGAGGAAGGGGAGGATGTTGGCATCCTTCCCTACGTCCTTCTAAATCGCTTTGGGAAGGATCCTGGAATTTTTGAAACCATAGGTAGAGCAGGATCTGAAGTTAGAGACTTCGTAGCTTCATTCCCTTTACCTCACTCCTTCCTCTGGCATATCTCTTTGCCCCGGAGGCTAGTGCACCTGAGAGCTTCACTGCCTTCTCAGTAGGTTGTCAGTAAATGCTTTGTGTTCAGCTGGGAGAAGCTGGGTGGCAGGAATCATGCATTTGCTGAGGAGAGGCGCAGCTCCAAAGGCTCTTTGAACAAGGACAGACTAATCTCTGCCTTTCCCCTCCTCCCACCCCCACAAAAAACAAAAACTCAAACAAACCACCACCACCACCAACAACAACAACAACAACAAGAAACAAGTTTGATATCCAGGAAGGGATAAACCTGAAAACCCCCTCTACTGGTCCAGGTTTTGGCCTTCAGCTGTGCTTCTCTTGCTGGACACAGGGGGGCAGTCTTGCCTTGCATTTGGCTGCTCCCCTGACCAGCCGCCCCCTCAGGGCTTCCAGGCCCAGTCCTTGGATCTCTGTTCATTTCTTAAGTTTCATCTGGTCTCAAGGCTTTAAACACCATCTATACTTGGATGTCTCCCAAATGTGTATCCTAGCCTGGATCTTACTCATGAGCCCCAGATTCACCAGCTGCCTTTGTAATCTGAGGGGCATTTCAAACTTCTCCTTTCCAAAGCTGAGCGCTTCCTTCTGTAGACTTGCCCAGGTCAGTCGAGGGTGACTGCATCGCCTTGTTTGGGCCCGAAGCTGTGGTGGCCTTGATTCTTCTTCCTGCTCTCACACCCCGTGGCCCACCTACCTGCAGATCCTTTCGGTTTTCCCTTGAAGTTATTATTTTTTTTTTTTATTAAAGATTTTTATTTATTTATTTGAGAGAGAGAGAGAATGAGAGAGAGCGAGTACATGAGAGGGGGGAGGGTCAGAGGGAGAAGCAGACTCCCCGCCGAGCAGGGAGCCCGATGCGGGACTCGATCCCGGGACTCCAGGAT